GCCTGTTTGGGGTAGGGCTGCCGGCTCTGGACAATGCGCGCGAGAGCACGGGGGAAGCTCCAGGAGCGCCCGGAACTCGGGGCTGCGGGCCTGCAGAGCAATGCTAAAGCCAGGGGACCCGAGGGGATTGGAGGACGCTCCACTGCATGCCTCGGGGCACGGTGGCGGCTTAAGCGCAGAGGAAGGTTCGAGGAGAGCCCAACTTTGAAAAAGAGCCGCCCTCCACCCTTGTGAGTGTGGGTAGATTTGAAGACCAATGCGCGCAGCGCTCAAGCGAGGTTCACACTTTGAAGACCCATCCTTGCGCGCTTGTTAGGAGTTCCAAGATGACTGTGCGAGGTGCTTAGGCGAGCGGCACCTGTTGACAACGAGCTTCGGGGATATGAATGGTGGGGACATGCTGCCCGACCGATTTGTCTGATGATGCGACGGTAAGGAGTTTTTGTCGGGGAGTGGGATAGAAAAGGACGAGGAGGAAGAGGAGGAGGAGGGGCAGGAAGAGTAGGAACGGGAGGACTGTATTGTGAGGGGAATGGAGGACGGAGGAAGTACGAGAAAAAAAGGGGGAGGAGGAAGGAGGAGGGAGGAGGAGAAAGGACGAGGATGGAGGATGGAGGCAGGAGGGAGGAGGGAGGGGGGAGGAGGGAGGAGGGGATTAGAGGAGGAGGCCTCTGGCATCGTCGTCGTCGCCGTCGTCGTCGTCGTCGCCGTCGTCGTCGTCGTCGTCGTCGTCGTCGTCGTCGCCGTGTCGTCGCCGACGTCGTCGTCGTCGTCGTCGCCGTCGTCGTCGTCGTCGCCGTCGTCGTAGTCGTCGTCGTCGTCGTCCTTTGGCAGCCCCCGAGCCGGGAGGGCGGGCCGCGGGCAGGCCTCGCGGCCCGCGCCCGGCGGCCAGACCCCCGCGTTGTTGGCCGCGGCCGCGCAGCCGCCAGCGGCGGCGTGCGGCGGGGCGCTGCGCGACGGCGGGGGGGGGCGGAGGCGGCGATAGGAGCGAATACCTCCTCCTCCTCCTCCTCCTCCTCCTCCTCCTCCCACTCCTCCCTCCTCCCTCCTCCCTCCCGTCCATGGGCATTCCCCCGACTACTGACGCCAGCTTTCAACCGTGGTCAGTCTTGCTTGATGCTGCCGCTTGTGCGGCGGGGAGCTGCGTGACGGCGGGGGGGGGGTCGGAGGCGGCGATAGGAGCGAATTTCGCAGGCCTAGAGGTTGACACCAACACCAAGATCGGCGGTGTGCCTCCACCGAGGGAAGGCGATTCCGATCTCGGCGATGGTGGTAATATTCTGGCTTCCAAGGTGGCCGAAAATGTTACCACCAACGCCGAAATCTAGGATCATCTTCCCCATGTGGAGGCAGCCCCCTGTGCTGGTGTCGGTGCCAATTTCCAGGCCTCCAAGAATAGAGCCCGGGTGCGCCGATGGTCCATGCCTTCGGCGAGGCTCTTGATGGCTCTTGGGCGAACATGTGTAATGCTCGCCCCTGGGCTATGCGCCCCTATCGTCGCCACCGAAGGGGGGGTTGGGGCGCGGGAGGGTCTCTGAAGGGCATCACTGGCGTCCCTCTCGCATCCTCCTCCTCCACATCCTCCCTCCTCCTTTCTCCTCCTCTCTCCTCCGTCTCCCTCCTCCTTCCTCCTCTCTCCTTTCCTGACGTTCCCTTCTCCTCCTCCTCCTCCTCCTCCTCCTCCTTCTCATCCTCTTCATATGTTATCTCTCTCTCTCTCTCTCTTTCTCTTTTTTTGTTCTCTCTCTCTCTCTCTATCTCCCCTCCTCACTCACTCCTCCTCTCCACGTCCCCTCCTCCTCCTCCTCCTCCTCCTCCTCTTCCTCCCCTTCCTCCTCCTCCTCCTCCTCCTCCTCCTCCTCATCCTCCTCCTCCTCCTGTACATGTATCCTGTCGGCAATGGTGTTGTCCGAACGCTGCCGCTTCCCCCACGGAGGCCCAGTCGGGCCCCCCTGGGGGAGTAGATGAAAAGACAACATTTGGGGCCGAGGCCCCGCAGACAGGAGGAAGGGAGAAGAGGGAGGACCATCAAACATCATACCATCGCATTCGATTGTAACGAAGAGATGAGAAAGATGTAACGAGGCTGAACATGTTGCTGCAGCAGCCGCAGACGTGGGCCCTGGGGCCGATGCCTGGGGCCGATGTGCAGGTCCCCCCTCATTCGGGTCGCGTGGCCCTCTTGGGCCACCGCCCTAGAGGGTGCCTGGGGCCCCCCTCATAGAGGTGCCCTGGTTGATCAGAGGTGTGCCCCCATGGATGTGGATACTCCGTCGTGCCGCATCTCTCCCTCTCAATCTTCTTTCCTCCGTCTGCCCTTCTTCCTCTTCCCTCCTGCCCCATCCCATAATCCGCACTCGTTGTCGTATTTCCCTCCGACGTCTATTCGTGAGTCTCGCACCTGCGTCTGATATTGTCCTTCATCTACTGTTCCACCGATCCTTCTGCGTTCTAGAACAGAGTCGCAAACGTAAAGGGTTAGTACCATTGATCCCTCTCGGTGCCCGCTGGGCTTTCTCAATTGATGTGCGCCCCTCGGCGCTTGCACCTTTTTTTGTTGTGTCCAGGGCGACCTTGGGTGCCAGACTGCGTTGTTGTCCCTGGTCCACAGCAACGGCTCCCTCGTGAGTCTTCCTCCGGTTTTATATCAAGAAGTTGCTGCAAGCTTGATCTCCGAAGCTAGGGAGTTGACACATTCTTATATTTCGGATGCTCAGATCGGTGATGCTGCCGCGCAAGTTTCCCTCTCATCGCCCTCTTCTCTCCGTTTCGTCCCCTTCCTCATCTTCCTCTCATCCATCCCATTGTCCTCCTGTCTCTCCTCCCCCTCCTTCCCTCCCTCCCTCCCTCGTCCCTCCTCTCTGCTCCTCTTCGTTCAGAGGCTCTTTGGACTCGTAGTCACGAGAACGACGACCTATGAGCCACGTATTTAGGCTTTGACTCCCCTGAGGCCTCCTTGCTCCTTTTGGGGGACGTCTCGGGGGGGGGGGCAGGATTCCCAGGACCCTAGGCGTGTCGGCGTTTGCATCGCTTCCAGGCCTGATCTTTCGACGGGGCCGAGGTTTTTGTACGGCCCGCTCCCTGGTCAGCACCAGTCTGTTCCTAGGGGCGGGTTGTATTGCTTGCCTTGTGAATTGAAATTCTCCAGAGGACCTTTGGCCTTTGTCATTGACAATAAAGAAGTTTGTAGGGGGGTTCTGGGCCAAACTCTTTGAAGCCCCGCGAGGCCCCAGTGCTGACTTGTGGAGGAGAATTGGGGATGTCATTCAGGCGACGGATCGTCATCCTGGTGACACTGCTGTGCTCAAAGTCCCTTCTACATCGACGCCGTCCAGGCCCGTAGTCAGAATGTTCCATGTCATTTAGTTGCGGGGAATGCGTTTGTCGACTCGTTAGTTCGGGTGGCCGTTCAGCTCTTTGCTGTCAATCCGTATGGATTTACCAGGCTTTTGCAAGCGGAGGCTGAGGTTCGGCTCATTCGTGAAATATTGCTTCGTGCTACGCTCGAGTCTATCAAGGGTGAGGGGAAAAAGGTTCGGTGCCCTGCTGCTGCTGCTGCTGCTGCCATTCCTGCCACCCCCCGCCTCCTGCGGCTGTGGCCCTTTTTAACCTCAGGCACGTCCTCATGGACTGTGGTAAACGCTGCTCTAGATGTCATGGCTCTGCTGCAGATGCTGGCAAAGATGAATGGTTGACGTCTGAGTGTTTTGAGCTCGAGAGGATTTCTGTGACAACGTTCAGTGTGCCTCGGGGTCGGACGTTGTACCTTGCTGGGGGGAGGGCCATAGTCCCCATAATATGGTTTGCCACGAAGGTCTGTCTCTCAGGTTTTGTGGACAGCGCGGGTGCCATAGCCAGCCTCAGCTCCGCGGCTTGGCAGGAGTCTGCTGTACCAGGTACGATCCGCCCAGAACTCTCACCAGGGACGTGGAGAGGTTATCCCGACCCCATTTCTCGTGGACTGTGGCTCAAGGTTCTCAGCAAGGCTGCGAAGGCGGCTCGTGGTCATTCTTTTATATAGACTCGCCTTGCGAGTGGTCTCACCTCACCTCATCCTCCTTGCTCCTCTTCCCCTTCTTTCCTCCTCTTCCTCCTCCTCCTCCTCCTCCTCCTCCTCCATCTCCTCCTCCTCCTCCTCCTCCTCCTCCTCCTCCTCCTCCTCCTCCTCCTCCTCCCCTCCGCCTCCTCCGCCTCCTCCTCCTCCTCCTCCCCCTCCTCCTCTATCTCCTCCTCCATCTCCTCCTCATTCTCCTCCCCCTCCTCCTCCTCTCCTCCTCCTCCTCCTCCTCCTCCTCCTCCTCCATCTCCTCCTCCTGCCTCCTCCTTCCCCTTCCCTCCTGGCGGCGTCTTCCCTCTCCCCTGCCCCCCGCCCTCCCCGCGACGGGGTGAAAGTCCCCGCCGCTCATGCCTCGGGTTGGCAGCGCGCGGGAGGCCGGACACTCTGCGCCCCGCGTGGCGCCGGCAGGCAGCCAGCTCGGGCCCGGGGGGCCGCGATAGGGGCGAGTAGCCCATGAGGGGAGCAATCCATGTACACACTGCTCATTTCTACTTCTTCGAAGGTTCTTTGATTTTTTGGGGGGGCCCAGATCCTGTCATCTCTGATTGCTCTATCCTGGGCCTCTTCCTGGCCACTAGGGGGGCCAGGAGCAAGTAGAAACGAGCGCAATTAGAAATCAGCACGATTAGAACTGAACGACGTGCACATGTCTTCGGCGAGGCTCCCCGGCGGGACACGTGTAATGCCCGCCCCTGGGCTCTTCGCCCTCGCCGTCGCCGCCGATTGACCGCCACGATTCGGCCTCGGCGGCTTGGTTCCGCTCTGTCGCAGCATTCTCGGCCGATGCGGGGGTACGCGGAACCCCTTCCCGTCTCAGGTCGGTGCCCCGTTTCCCATTTCCAGCGGCCGCCGCCTTGGGCGTCCTCTGCGCCCTCCCGACGCACCCTGCGACGATGGGCCCCCCCGCGACGATGCGGGCGAGCGAGCGGCCTCCGGCGGGGAGGCCGCCGCGGCTTCTTCGCGTCCAAGTGGCAGAAGAGGCTGGGGCACCTGCTGGAGGGCCGGCGTAGGCCAGCGGTGCCCGAGATTCCCGAGAAGGAGCGGGCGAGCAGAGGGCCTCCTCCTGCTGCTCCTCCTCCTGCTGCTCCTCCTGCTGCTGCTGCTCCTCCTCCTCCTCCTCCGCCTCCTCCGCCTCGTCCTCCTCCTCCCCCTCCCCCTCCTCCTCCTCCTCCTCCTCCTCCCTCCTCCTCCTCCCTCCTCCTCCTCCTCCTCCTCCTCCTCCTCCTCCTCCTCCTCCTCCTCCTCCCCCTCCCCTCCCCCCTCCGCCTCCTCCGCCTTCTCCTCCTTTTCCTCCTCCTCCTCCTCCTCCTCCTCCTCCTCCTCCTCCCCCTCCGTGAAGCCTTACGTCCAGGAGGCCTCCCGTGCTGCTGGACCTCCCTCGTCTTCCTCTCTCGCCTTCAGAGGCTGAGTGGCTTACGCTACGCGATTCTGATTTGTTTGTTCTGTCTGTTTTTTCCGTTCTCTGTTTCCTCCCGTTCTGTGCTTGAAAATCCGTTCGATGTTTGGATCGTCGTGAAGTGGTTGAGCAAGGACAACTTGGGACTCCCACCTGTCTGGGGGGGCGGGCGTCGTTTAGACGCATCCACATTCGCACGATAGGTCTCACTTAGCTGAAGATTATGTTGAGTATTGCTGTGTGGTCATGGAGACATTCGGCCCGATATCGCTCCGCCGCTGCCGCCGCCGTCTCCTCCTCCTCCTTCTCCTCCTCCTCCTTCTCCTCCTCCTCCGCCCGAGGTCACATCACTTTGCGCGCCGCGCAGGCGCATCCGTCGGCGTGAAGCTGCAGGCGGGACCGTCCTCTGGACTTCTCTCCTGTCCTCTTGGCGGTCCTCTTGTCCGCCGCGTCCCCTTCCTCCTCCTCCTCCTCCTCCTCCTCCTCCTCCTCCTCCTCCTCGCTCTCGAACCCTCGACCCAGGCAGCTGCTTGGCATAGGGGCCACCTCCGAGCACCTGCGCGGCGCCTTCCTCCTCCCCACTGCCTGCTATGGTCACCTCCGCGCGGCTGCAGTGGCTGCTCCTGGAGCCAGCGCGTGGGCGGCAGGCGCACATCGGGCTCAGCTCGTACGTTGGCAAGGTGGTGATCGTTGTGGAAGACGATCAACGGAGAGGAAGCATGCTGCCAAATAGTTTCCAGATGTCTAACAGATGTTACAACTGTGTCTTAAAACATGCTTGAAGCATGTGTCGAATATGTTTCATACAATGCAAACACACATTTAATTCAATGATGGGACTGTTCGAGTGTCCATTGTCATGGCATCCACAAGGTCTCTGCCGTGTGGGGCGCGAGCATGAGCAGTGGTTTCGCTTGCGGGTGGCTGACCCACATCTTCAACAAGCTCCCCACGGTCATCGCCGTAGACCATGGCCACAAGAGCTCGGACAGCAATTGCTACGTGAGCATTGCGCCCAGACCTGCCCCTGCTGGACGTGCTGACGGTCATCGCGGTCCGCCCGATAACCCAGGGGGCTTTGATCAGTGTGGCAATGATGGTGGTGGCCCCCTTTGCGGCCTGCGCGTCCTGTGGGTGCTGGCGGGACGATGCGTGGCAATCCGGACCTGACCCATTGAGCGGCGCAGCGACCCATGGAGTTAATGGGCAGGGAAAAGGAAGCATCGGCATCATGGAGACTTGCTGCCGGGAGTTTCCGTTCCTGCCGGAAGTCTTCAGTGTGCGGCTCACGTTGAGGAGTTGCCAGCGGTACCGCCCTTCCCCTTCAAGAAGGAGGCCCTGGTGTTTCGCTCAGGTGGCCCAGATGTGGCTGGTACCCTTCTGCAAGAACCGGGCCGTGGTGCCATCGATCATGATGAAGCTGATCAAGGTGTTCTTCGCGACTGGGCCTTCGGCGAAACCAAGAAGATTAAGCCATGCCCGTGATGAGAGGTGCTCGTGCGCGTACCAGCAGGGGACTTTGGTCGAACCATCTGGATCTCAATTGCACAAAATGAGATCGGACTGTTTTTACGCGTCCGCGGCGCAGCATAATAGTTTGATATGCTACATGGAAAAATTGAACATGGCCGACGATCACACATTGTTCGACACTGGTGTGGGAGTTGTGTCTACACCGACGGCATGTCACCAACGATTGGGGATCTACAAATGTGTGTTATTCAGACAGCTCCAAAAATGTGAATGGCAAATTCGTCTAGTGTCTCTCGATCTCGATGCCACATGGGCCACCCATGTGAGAGGAAACGTCATCTGGTTGCATTCGACGGTGCAGCTTGGGCTCTGCAGACACGCATGTGCATCACTGGCTGCTTCTGTTCAGCTGTGCTGTCGCGCGTCTCCGCCGCCGCCCAGTGGTGGGGAAGGTGCTCTGGGGAAGCGGGGCAGTGCTGGTTGGGCCAGGGCGGGGGGGAGGGTCCACGAGCCCCCAACCACGCGTCCGGATATCGGCATCACCTTACTGCGCAAAGTGGAGCAGTGCAGGCCGCAACGCCGATCCAAAACATGGACGTCTGTTGGGCTCGATGTGCAGGTGGATCCCCACTATTGTTTCGGAAAAATCGCAGCGAGTGGAACGCAATAGGAGGCCCGATACACAGACACATACACACACAGGCTCACACATTAATCAACCGTTGCCCAAGACGTTGGCGGATATCATCGAGCCGTCGTGTCATGCGCAGTCCGCGTGTTTTCCGCTCCAAGCGCTTCAGTCGGGTAATCAGGCATGAGAAGCGCCATGCCCGTAGATCCGAGCGTCGGCAGCTACCTATGCCTGTTTCGCTGTGAGCCGTGGACGGGTCAGCGTTCAGGCGCTTGATCCGTCGCCACTGGGCGCCTACCCTCGTGTGTCAAGGGTTGCGGGGTAGGTGCAGCCCGCTGGCAAGTGCTCTGTGGCAGCGATCCCGTTATTGTGCCCAATTAGTTGACTAAGTGTGTGTGTGTGTGCGTGTGTGTGTGTGTGTTCAAGCAGGCGCACGTAGCCCGAGGAGCGTGGAGTAGGACCTTGCGCTGTGACCAGTGAGACGCTTTGGGCCCCTCACTGCTGCGCTCGAGGTCCTTCGAGAGGCTCCGTCACGGTCCCCTCAGCGGGGAAACTCTGCGCGGACTCGCGGCGGAAGCGCGTCTGCTCTGCCGCTCGAGTGAGCGACTGACTCCTGCAGCACGCTTGTCATCAGACGCCTTCGGTTGGCCAGGTATTCCGCAAAGGCTGGCGGCGCCACTCTCCTCGCGTACTTGCGTGAACGCTCCCCTCGCCGTCGGTCGCCCTCCTCCTTCTCCTCTCCCTGCTTTCCCTCGCCGCCGCCCTGCCTGTCCTCGCCCTTCGCCCCCCCTGCCGCAGGAGGTCTACTCCGCCCCCTCCGAGATCCGCCCCGTGCGCCCGGTGCCGCGCCGCCGCCGCCACGCCGACACGCCTCGCCGCTTCTTCGCCTCGCCTTCCTCTCGAAGCGCTCCTCCTCGGAGGAGGGAAAGGTGCCCATACCGCTGCCCTCCCCTCGCTTTCCCCTTTCTGGGCCTCCTGGGAGGCCCTCGTCGCCGCCGCTGGATTCGCCTCGAAGGCCTCCTGGTTGGAACCCACTCCGGGAGAGGTCCGGGGAGCAGCGGTACCGGTACCTTCCTGGCTTCCCCAGCTTCATCTTTCTCGAAGTGCTCTTCCTGTTTCCACCTCCGCGCCTCTCGATCGATGTCAGGTCGGCTTTGACAGTCCAGGCGTCTGCTTCTTCACGCATCTTTGCTGGCCGCCAGGGGCCAGCGAGCCTACTCGTCGCCACGGCTGGTTCTGGTTCGGAAGGTCCTCTTGAGGGTCGTCGTCGTCGTCGTCGTCGTCGTCGTCTGGCCAGGATGTTCTGTGGGATGGACTTTGGTGGATGGGGGCTCCTGGGGCAAGCTGCGATGGACAGAGCTTCGGAGCACCACCCCTGGATGGTGTGTGGTGACGCTGCGGGCCCTCTGGCGAAACAGATGCCAGGAGGCACGCAACAGAGCATGAGATAATGCAGAAAGCCTTTGCCAGACGACCGTCAGCGCGATCTTCACAATTTGTCACCCCACGGGGGCGGCGTCGGATCCAAGATATTGGCACCGGCTGAAGTCCGACTTCTCAAAATCATGTTTGCCAGCGTGGACCTCAAACAGTGGGTTTGTACACTGCATGCACAAGCTATGTGGGGGCAGCAATGTGGTGCAATCTGTGTGATGTCGTGCAAGCAACGTGCTGCGAGCTATTTGGTAGAAACAAGGCGGTTCAATCTGCGCGGTGTCAGCTACAAGGTGGAAGCCATGTGGTGCAAGCTATGTGGTCTGAAGCATTGTGGCGAGCCTATGTCGTGCAAGCTACGAAGTGAACGCGGAGTGGTGGAAGAGATTTTGTGAAAGCCAAAGTCGGCGGCGAGCGAGGGGGGAAGGTTGAGAAGGGGCGGGCCTTTTCAGAAGGCTCGGAAGTTCCCCAGCCCTTCCCCCACGACGCAGAAAACCTTTCAGAAGGCGCGAGATCTCCCGAGAAGCCCCGCGGCCTTCTGGGCAGGCCTTCTCTTTCTCACTTCCCCGCCCCTTTCTCGCCGCCGGCAGGTGGTGGCGCACGAATCAAGCAGTCGCGAAGCGTCCTCGCTCGCCTATAGGCCCACCAAAGAAAGAACCCCTTGTGGTGTGCGCGAAATCTTCTCAGAACATCTCTGGCTGGGAGGGCCTTGTTTTCACACATTGGGCTTATGTTATGAGCACATCGTTTATGCTCTTAGAATGAGCAGGGCTGGACCTAAAGGGTGTTTTTGGTGATTTCGTGGGCCGTTTTCGTTTCGATTTTCGTTTTGCGGACAAGGCGGACTCGAGACAAGCGCGAAGGAAAACGAAAACACAACGAGCACGAAACACACCGTTGTAGGTTCAGCCCTGCTAAGAACATTGTTTATGGTCTTAGAACATTCGGAGTTCTAGGAACACTCTGTGGTAGGTCTGCAGGACTGCCGGGGACAGGTCGGCCCACTTGCTCGCCGCCGGCAGGCGGCGGCGCACGCGTCGTGCCGACGAGGCGGCGACGGGCGGCCGACGGGCAGCACGGCCGGCGCGCGCCCGGAGAGCCGCCGGCCGGCGCCAACCGGGGCGGCGTCGGCTCGGGGCTGCCGCGAGGCGGCCGCCGGGCGGCGACGCGGCGAAAGCGACGCGGCGGCGAGAGTGTCGGGGGCGGCAGCGAGGGGGGCGATGACTCGGGGGGGGGGCATATCATGGTGGGGGCCATGATAGTTCCTCAGATTTCATGGCGCCTCCTCTTATGCCATGACGTCCCTGGCCCCCCCGCCGGGCCGCGCACGTGCCGCCGGTCATGATTTGCACCCCCCCCTCTTGGACACCCCCCTCTTGGCCGCTCCCGAGAGTGCTGGATGCCACCACACCACTCTAGCCCCTTCTTCCACAGCTAAGCAGCTTGAGCAGCAGCATAAGAACACCAGGATCCAGACTGTTGCGAGGGCTGTTGGTGAAGCCCGCCCCAACCCTGGTTCAGAGGCCTTCTCGAGTCAGGCAGGGCCTCTGGTGGGAGCTCAGTTTCAAAACTCTGAACAGCAAGGACCACCTCACCCACAACCAGGTCCATTGCTGCAGGCAGGTTTTTGGTGGGTGCGCCCCCGGCGAGCGCACGCTTGGCGATTCGAGCGGGCGGTAATGGGCACGAGCGAACGAAGCCGCGCCCAGACGGCGCATTGGCAGATTCACTGATAGCACATGCGATCGTGAAAGATGCAAGGCTCAAGCGTGCAAGCGCGCGAGCATCGCCGGGCCTCGGAATGCAGTGCACTAGCATGCTGGTGCTGCGCGAGGGTGGTAATGGGGGGTGATTGAAATAGGGGATGAAGAAAAGGGCCCTAAAGGGGCCCTTTTGGGCCCCTGCTGGCTCCAAAAGGGGCCCCAGCGGGCCCCTTTAGGGCCCTCTTCTTCATCCCCCGTTTGGCCCACCCCCCATGACCACCCGTCCGAGCGCTCGGCTATACGTAAGAGTGACCTTTCGCCGGAGTGACCTGTGTTGCGGGCACACGGGGGCCCCTACAAGACGGAACGCGGTGCGATCGCAGCGGCTTGCGCGCTCAGGTTCGGCCTCCCCGCGGCCCCCGAAAGTCGCGCACTCAAGGTCACTCACCCTTGCCCAGGGTCACTCTTGCGTGTAGCCGAGGCGACGAGGCGGCCACGGGCGGTGACAGGGCGAAGTCCCCCAAAACGCCAGCCAGTTAAGGAAGGAAGACGGCTATGACGCCTCATTGCGCGCACTGCTTGGGGAATTGTTCCCCGCATCCTGGGGTGGGGTTCTTATTCATGTGACGCCTCTGCCTCCTCATGCTCCCGCTTTCTCCCTGTCACTTTCCGACTCATACACTCTTACTCAGACTCAAGCGCATTCAGACTCATTCGTATTCATACCACACACACACTCAGATTCATTGATATGCCGACAAGCTCATATCCACTCACATTCTGACTCATAAACGGACCACTCAAACTCTGATCCGCCACTCTCGGACTCACTTATTCTCAGGCTCGCTTGCAAATCCACTCATACTCAGCCTGGTCATACACTTCATCATACGGCCAGATCGCTCGCACTCTGGCCCAATCACACTCAGGATGCTTGCACGAAAGAAAGCAAAGACATTCGAACACATTCCAAACACTTATGTCTGTTTTTCAATGCTGGCCTCTTTGGCTGACCCCAATACCATCGAAAAACCTTCACGATGGCTCCAGGACGGCCTTGGGGGATCGTCGCGAGGTGACCACGCTACGTCGGCCGCTGGAAAATAACACGGAAACCACCGATACCGCTTGGAAGCACAGGAATTCCAAGAATCCGGGGCCCAGCGCTTTTACTGAGTGCTCAAACCACAAAGAATGGGTATTGGGTATTCGAAGGGTCCGTAGCCATTTTGGCTCAAACCGTGTTGTCTCAAGCCGTTTTGGCCTAAGTATTGCTTTGATCGTCTCGGCACCTGGGCCGCGACTATTGTTTAATATGCTGTGGGCGGCGAGTGGGCGCAACCATTGCGACACATGGCATTTTATTGCCACTGTTTGCTGACGGGTGTGGTAGCAACCGTCCTCCTGAGTTTGATTATGTCAAACATGTCCTGCTGTGCAAAGTACAACGAATGATCCGTTACTGCCCGTTCCGTCTGAGGGCGGCACTGAGTTGCGCCCGCCATTGGCCTTGCCATGTGAAGGTTGCACCATGTGGTGGCAGGCGGCTCTGGACACCGTTGTCTTCGTTCGTCAGTTCCTGGAGGGGGCCACCAAGCGGACCTACATTCAGCGAAGCCCTTGCAGTACACAGCGCAAAGACAGAAGCAGATCCTTCGGCGCGGCATTATACATACGCTGTGCGCGGGCGGCGGACCGGACTTTGGTACATTGGTTCCAGAAAATGTCCCGACACTGTTTCTTCACCAGAAGCGGACACGCAATACATGGGTTCCCCAACGGATTCGCAGTTCAAGCAAGAGCGGAAAGATAAGATTGTATTGACAAAGCACAGCAGGCACGTTGATGCTTTGCAGGCGGAGTGCTTCCTCCATGAATTTTATAATGTCGCTGAAAACAGTGAGTTCGCCAACCAGGCAAGGCAGACCTCCACTAGTTTCAGTCGCCAGGGAACGCGGCACACCGAAGAGACAAAGCAAAAGATGAGCCAGGCTACGCGAGGAAGGCCCAAAAGCGAGGAAACGAAGCAAAGGATGAGTGAGGCCAAGCGTGGCGACAAGCACCCCTTTTTCGGCAAGCACCACACTGAAGAAGCCAAGCAGAGGATGAGTGAGGCCAAGCGTGGCGACAAGCACCCCTTCTTCGGCAAGCGCCACACTGAAGAGGCCAAGCAAAGGATAAGTGAGGCTCTGCGAGGGAGGCCCCACAGCGAGGAAACGAAGCAAAGGATGAGCGAGGCTAAGCGAGGAAGGTCCAGAAGCGAAGAGACGAAGCAAAGGATGAGCGAGGCCAAGCGTGGCGACAAGCACCCCTTTTTCGGCAAGCACCACACTGAAGAGGCCAAGCAAAGGATGAGCGAGGCCAAGCGTGGCGACAAGCACCCCTTCTTCGGCAAGCGCCACACTGAAGAGGCCAAGCAAAGGATACGTGAGGCTCTGCGAGGGAGGCCCCAAAGCGAGGAAGCGAAGCAAAGGATGAGCGAGGCTAAAAGGTCCAGAAGCGAAGAGACGAAGCAAAGGATGAGCGAGGCCAAGTGTGGCGACAAGCACCCCTTTTTCGGCAAGCACCACACTGAAGAGGCCAAGCAAAGGATAAGTGAGGCTAGGCCTGGTAAGTGCCACACTGCAGATGCAAAGCACAAGATGAGCGAGGCTTTGTGCGGAAGACCCAAGAGTGAGGAGGCGAATCAAAGGTTGAGCGAGGGTTTTGCGCAGAAGAGGCCAAGCAAAGGATGAGCGAGGCTATGCGTGGGGGTAGACACCCTTTGTTCGGCAAACGCCACACTGAAGAGAGAAAGCAAAAGATGAGCCAGGCTACGCGAGGAAGGCCCAAAAGCGAGAAAACGCAGCAAAGATTGAGCGAGGCCTTGCGCGGAAGACCTAAGAATGAGGAGGCGAAGCAAAGGATGAGCGAGGCCAAGAGTGGCAACCTGCACCCTTTCTTCTCCACCACGCTGAAGAGGCCAAGCAAAGGATAAGTGAGGCTACGCATCGCGATTGACACCCTTTTGTCGGCAGGCACCACACTGGAGAGGCAACTTACAGGATAATTGAGGTTTTGCGCGGAAGCCCCAAGAGCGAAGAGACGAAGCAAAGAGTCAATGAGGCTACGCGTGGCGACCATCACCCCTTCTTCGACAAATGCCACACTCAAGATAGAAAATAATAGATGGGTGAGGCTACGCGTGGGAATAGACGCCCTTATTCCTCCCTTCTTCTTTATAAATAATTCCTCCCTGTCGCACCCCCAGACGTGTCCGTAGAGCTGACCTGGCGTCTTCACCATCTGTGACCCTCAAGCTTGAAATTTGTTGGGGGTATCTTGCAACGTCGCTGATGTGTCTTGAGTTTTTCCCCAATCAGAGCTTGCCTCTGTAAGGGTCCTAGGGGATTCATATGGTTAGGTGAGGTTCGTCGCCGATTTCGGTGGCCGGGCCGGTTCCCCCGGTGCGCGGGTGCCCGGGTGCCCAGGGGTGCAAGGGTGCCCAGGGGTGCCCAGAGGTGCCGGGCGGTGCCCAGGTGCCCGGGTGTTCTATCGCCCAATAGCCCTATAGTCCTATAGCCCTATAGCCCTATAGCCATCTATAGCCCTACAGCCTTGTAGCCTTATAGCCCTATAACCCGATAGTCTTATAGCCCCATAGTCTTATAGCCCTATAGCCCCGTAGCCCTATAGCCCTAAAAGTATTCTGATTGGGGCTTTTCTCCGATATCATGTATCTCTTGTTTTCAATAGTGGGTATTCGAGGGGGCTGGACGACGCTCCACTTAGTGTTTTGCGGCCCGGCGGCGGATCCTGCATTCCCGCGCTGGCAAGAATTATATGCCGATACGCGTACTCCACAAGGCTAGGGGGCCACATGCGAACCCTACCCCCACCTCTCACGATTTCTGAGGGGAGGGTGGGGTTCACTTCGCTCGGGAGCTCCCTAACGAAGTGAACCCCACCCTCCCCCTCAGAAATCTTGGGGGGGTGGGGGTAGGGTTCGCATGTGGTCCCCTACCTGCGCTCACGAGGGCCAGGTGCCAGCTTCGTGCGAGCAGCGCTGCAGCATCCTGTCCGGAGGTCTCTTGTCTGACAGCTTTAAGTCGGCCATGTCCCTCCACAGGAGGAATATTCAAACATAGTTTTAAAACATAGCATAGGGACGATTTTCCCTATCTTTCAATATTTGTTTGTCCATGTTGTATTGTTCGTCCAAAATCCGCCTGTAGGAGGACAGGCCCGACCTAATGATAGCTGTTGCCCACCCAGGTCTGAGCTCTCCGCACCCGCTACACGGTGCACCTGTTTGTCGTGGTGTACCGCAGGCCAAAGGGGAATGAGCAGGGCTAGACATGAATCGCGCGCACATGTATTGCACGTGCACGTGCAGCGGCACGCTTGTACTCTAGTCCTTCTGTCATGAGTCGTTCAGGCTCAGGTGATTCGTCGAAAGACTGAGCCGATTGTTACAAAGATGCTGAACGCGCAGTCTGGGCCTCAAACGACACATCGCACGCGAGGGTTTGGCGTGTCTTTGTGTCCTGGCTTTCCGAAGCGCGCTTGCTCCCGTCACTTTGTACAAGTTGTTTCAACGGATGTTCGGAGCAGCACAGACGTTACTGTCGGAGGCAATTTTCTTGGAGTTGTTGCTGGCGTGGCGAGTCTGATGATGCGGTGTCAGTGCCCACGGCTTCGGAGAGTGAAATGCAGGTTGCGGGCACATTTCACTGACAGGACACCCCAAGCTGATGTGATGATTAGCTCCAGCTTTGATTCTGGCAATGGCGATCTGCAGGGAGCTCCCCGGGAGGTGTCAGATGGGGTGTGGGAGGCAGTGGTAAAGTTGCGCCCCGAGCCGTTCACGCACGGCACAGACAAGAAAGCGCACTCTCAGTGGTTCCATTTCAGGGCGAGCAATGTCGCAGGACGTGTTATCCGGATCCGTATACCTAATGCTGGCGAAGCTTCATATGCAGAGGGGTTCAACGGCTACAGGCCCGCGACAAGTTACGATCGCAAGTATTGGTTCCGCTGCGAGAAAGCTACGTACGAAGATGGTGTTCTCAGTTGGGAACTTTCCGTGCCACCCGGCCAGGGGTGCGTTTGGTTTTCTTATCGAATACGCTTGCGGCGAACCATCACCGCACCGTACCTTTTGGAAATGCCATTGTGCCCAAGCGTTGAGCCAACGTCTTGCCAAGCTATTCAGCTAGGTGTCCCCCCAGCCGTGTTGGAATATTTTCGGGGAACACTTAGGGGAGGAAGATACATAAGAGGAGGATAGGGGGAGAAAGTGGAGGAGAGGTGGAGGACCAGAGCAAAGCCAAGATGCATCAGCGATGCTGCAGTATACTCTCCCCTCCCATGACCAGTCTTCATACTTTCACTCAAGAGGCGCCGCCTTGAAAGACCAGCACCGCATGGGCCCGCCATTCAGGCGAGAGCCCCGCTTTGAAAAGAAGCTGCTTTACATCTGCTTAGCGCGTAGTCAGGAATGCGTAAGGTATGATCATACGGTGCAGCTGTGTGTCCCGCGAGATCTTCGCTTTGGGAAAGAGCCGCCCCCATCTGCGTAACTGTTGCGCGAGTTTACACTTCTGGTCATGAACATCTAGGAAGTCTTAATGGAGACCCCCACTTTGAAAATGAACCACCCTCCTGTGCAGCTGCTGCACCTTGTCAGGTTTCTGGTGTACCAAAGGTAATATCACTCGACAGCCCGATTATAGAGGGGTGCCGTCCACCATCCTTGTGAATGTTGCAGGATGTTCGCACGAATGTACGTGGCGCTACAGGGAGAGAGAGAGAGAGAGAGGGACCCATGTTGAAAACCACAAGCCCTCCATCCCTGTTGCTCTTGCAGCTGTATAAGACGAGTACGCGCGGCGCTGAGTCGAGAGCTTGGTTTTGCAAACCTCCCGCCCTGTATGATTTGCAATTGGCTTTTACGACGCATGTGCGCGGTGCTGAGGCGAGACCCACATGTTGAAGGCGACATGCGTTTTCAGGATTATCAGCGGTGGAGAAGTGGGAGGCGAGCCTCCCGGCCCGCCCTGCTGACACGTCTGTGGGTGCAGCAGAGGGGGGTTCTCTTTAAGGGAAAGGTATGGTGGAGGAGGAGGAGGCCTCTTGGTGCCATCATGGGGTCTCCTGGGGACTTTCTGGGAGCTTTTGGGGGGTCTCTTGGGGGCCTCCTGGAGTCGCCTGGGGACCTCTTGGAGGCTTTGGGGGGCCTCTTGGGGGCTAGGGCTCCCTTGGCCCGTCGGGCGCCTTCGGTTGGGTGCTTTGTGGGGCATCTTGTGGCTATCTTGAGGGCCTCTGCGGTGTCTGGGGTTGTCGGTAGCCTGAGAAAACATGAACGCGAAGGCCTCTCTGGAGGCCATCTGGAGGCGCTTGGGGCCAGACTGGGCTGTCTGGAGGCCTTCTTGAGGCCATCTTGGGCTCTCGCGGGACCATCTTGGTATCATTTGTTGAGGCAGTCTTGGAAGCCATGTTGGCGCATCTGCGCCGTCGTGGAGACTGGTCCTTTCCTGGTGGCTGGTAGTCTGGCACGGCAGCACCCTTTCGACAGGCTACGGGTGCGACGGGTAGAAGGCGCCTACAGTGAATCACCGCCGCCCCCTGCCTTCTGGAAACGATTGCGTGGTGACATGTCGAGCGAAGGTGCGGCCATTCTAGCAGACTGCGTGTTCCCCCAGCCGGTGGGGAAACCACTGGGGAACCTTCGGGAGTAGCACTCTGCGGTCGGCTGTCTTGGAGCTCTTTTCGGGCCATTTGGGCATTGGTGGGGGCATCTTTGTGCTCTCTTTTGGGCCGTCTAACGGTGGGGAACTTTTGGTTAGCGTGTCGCGCTGTTGGTTATGGCCCACCGCGCCTCGGCGAGTCACGCTGTCCATGTCCTAATCCCGAAGCGTCAACGTCCCGAGCCTTTCCCGACCTGCCGCCCCGTGGAGCGGAGCGAGACGCTATCCACTCGCAGGGCATAGCTTGTCACCAGGGCCGCCGCCGCGACACGCTAAGCAAAAGTTCCTGGCCGAAGAATAGTTTCAGGCCGTCCAGCGCCTTCAGAGACTATGTGAGCGGCCTAGCTGCCTCTTGGGGCTCCTTCGAGTCGTCTTGGAACTCTCTTGCGCCGTCTTGGGACTCTCTTGGAGCCTCTTGGGGTTGTCTTGGATGGGACCGTCTTGGAGCCATCTTGGGCCCGCTTGGGACCTTTTGGGCCGTCTTGGGGACCTTCTTGGGCCGTCCTAGGCGTTAGAGACTTCGGAAATCCTGCAAAGCGTATGGAAATCAATGGTACTGGCCTCCTGGAGGTCCTTCGGGAGCCCTCGTGGGGCGTCTTGAGGGCTTCTTGGGCAATCTTGAGGCCATCTAGCTTCGCCCATTCTGGCCATTTTGGGGACCGGTTGTTTTTCCGAACCCTCCTGAGTGTTGGGTCCTCGTTTTGAATGTGCAGCGTCGCGCCCCACCTCCTCCTCCCCCTCCTGTCCTCTCCTCTTCCTCCTCACCCTTGTCGTCGTCACCATCAGCAGCAGCATCATCATTATCCTCCTCGTCGTCGTCGTCATCATCGGCAGCAGCAGCATCGTCGTCTCTAGCATCATCCATATTCATACTCGTCACCACTATCATTATCATCACCGTTTCGGTGCACCCCTCACACGTTTCGTGGCACCATAGGGAGCTCCACCGAAGGCCCCAATGGCCAGGTTCACATGGTGACCCGCCCCGTTTCGGCACACCTCTCACGCGTTTCGTGGCCCCACAGGGAGCTCCACCGAAGGCCCCAGTGGCTGGGTTCACATGGTGACCCGTCCCATTTCTGCACACCACTCACGCGCTTCATGGCCCCACATGGGGAGCTCCACCGAAGGCTCCAGTGGCTGGGCTCACATGGTGACCCGCCGCATTCTGTCACACCCCATCACATGTTCCGTGGCCCCACAGGGAGCTCCACCGAAGGCGCCAGTAGCTGGGTCCACATGGTGACCCGCCCCATTTGAGCGGTCCTGCGCATAGTTGCCACGCCGTAGCAGAGGGTTGGGATCTTCGCCAGGAAATCTGTTTTTCCTTGTTCGTGGGGCCGACGGGATGCGCCGAAGCCCCACTGGAAACCTGTTTGAAAGGCTACGCGCCAAGCTTCCCTGTCCGGCACGCCAAGCTTCCGCGGGTCGAAGACGCCTACGGCGAATCACCGCCGCCCCCATGCCTTTTCGAAACGCTCACGCGGCCAAATGTTGGGCCGAAGCTTGGCCAAGATATTGGACTACATGCACCCCCAGCCGTCTGGAACCCCTTGCGGAAACACTTGCAAGAGGAAGAGGAAAAGGAGGGAGGTGGAGAGGGAGGAAAAGGAGGACGAGGCGGAGAAGGAGAGATGAGGAGGTTTCTTGAGGCCGTCTTGGGGCCCCCTGAGGGCTTCCTGGGAGCCTTTCGGGTGCCTCTGAGGAGCCTCTTGGGAGTCTCCTAGGGCCTCTTGGAGGGGCTCCTAGGGCCTCTTGGAGGGGCTCCTGGGGCCTCTTGGGGGCCTCTCGGGTGCTTGGGGGCTTTGGGGGGCCTCTAAGGGACCTCTTTGCCTTGGGAGGCCGTCTTGTGGCGCGCTCTGGGCAGTCTTGGGTCCCTCTTTGGGCGCTTCGTCTTGGAGGTCTATGAGGCCGTCTTGGGGCCGTCGTGTCGTCTTCTTGGGCCTTCTTGCGGGCCCCTTGGGTGTCTCTTTGTCCGTCTTGGGCCGATCTTGCGGGCGCACGGGACCAGAGCGTCGGAAGCCCGTAAAGGCGAGAACGCTGAAACCCTTGAAACACCTAAGGCGAATCAATGATTTTGGTCTCCTGGAGGTCCTCTTGGAGCCCTCTTGGGGCATCGTCTTGGGAGCCTCTTGGGCCGTCTGGAGGGCATCTTGGGCTGTCTTAGGGCCATCTTGGCCGTCTTGGAGGCGTCTTGACACCATCTCGGGCTCTCTTGGGACCATCTTCCCCATCTTGGAGGCCAGCTTGGAACCATCTTGGCCGTCTGGCAGAGGTCCGTTGTGGATCCATGCGGCTTCGTGGGTCCTGCGCCTGCGGGCACCCCTGTGGCAAGCCAACAGTGGGCGGCGGATCGAGTGGCCGTCGGCCCATCCCGCCATCGTGCCTTGGTTGTTGACCGTCGTCTTCTCTGAGAGGCATTCCAGGGCCACTTGGGAGGCCTCTTGGGGCACTCCTTGGGGCGTCTGGGTGACTTCTTGGAGGCCTCCTTGGACCTCCTGCGGACCTCTTGGATGCCTCTGGAGGCCTCTGGGGCTACGGTCGAAAAGAAGTAGAGACTGATGACATAATACAATAC